AAAGATCAAGAAACTTATGCAGAACAACACCAATCGATAAAACTTTGTTGTATTTAAACCAGATTTGGTATACTTTAATAAACTTTGAATTTCTAATCCTTTGCTTATGATGGTATAAGCAGTTCGTGCTAAATATAACAACAGAAAATTTTATATTAATTATTATTAATTATTATTAATATTATTATTGTTATTATGTAATATGTAATATAATTCATTAAACATTACAAACCTGCAAAATAACATCCTATACCAGATATTAGTACAGGCCACATTCCATCTACAATAATATAAACCCAAGTCTGGCTTGCTTGTATAAAACAACCTAAAACAGGTCTGATCCCATATACATACTGAGCATTTAAATATGTCAGTCCAGTAAGAATAAAAGGTACTATGATTGATAAAACAAAATCTATCCGGGATTGATTCCTTCTAACACGTTCTGTTAATAATGTTGGTTTCACTACATAATTATGCAAAGTGTGTATCATGCATCCAGCAGAAGCTAATATACCGAAATGTGCTGCATTAACAAGTGGTGCTGTTATATAACAATAGGCGGGTGCTTTGTCTTCCAAATCATTGGCCCAAAGTATCGAATTAATGAAAATTATGAGGTTTATGAGTGATACCCAAAATGACATAAATATTGCTCCCCAATTTTTATTTTGTATGTGAAATATACCAGGTATTATACATAAAATAACTGCCATAAACGAAGCAATTGTGAGAACGTAATCTGCCATTTTTTATATATTCTTATTCTTATTTTTATATCATATATGTATGTGTGTGTACGTGTTGGTTATTATGTTATTCAGAAAGAGAGAATGAATGTGTTAGATGTTGAACCTCCGACTTTGCTCTGTTTTTTTTTTAAAAAAATTTTAAAAGAAAATTGTTTAAGCACCGGGCCTCGAAAACAATGAATGAATGGGTGGGTGGGTGGATGGGTGGTGGTGTATTATTGGTTTTATAAATAATGAGTTGGGTTTTTTTATCTTTTAAAGAATATATTTTTATTGATGATAATAAGCCGGAGATTCATACACCTAGATGGATGGATGGAAGTATGAATGTAATGAAGATAAAGTATTATTACACAATTAATTGATAAAAGATAGGTAAAAGCACAAAAAATGGCAACAATTTTAAGAATAAAGAATGAAAAATTTAAATAGTAAATATATAAATACCTCTTTGTCTGCAAGAATAATAATAATAATGATAACAGATAATAATAATATTGATAGTTTTTTTTTTTTAATAAAAAAAAAATCAATCCGTCCGTGTGTTCTTTTATGTACATGATGATAATATTTATTGTTTACGTTGTTGAAACCCTTGTCATATTTAATAGAAATTCGTGTCACATTAAAATCCTTTGATATATAAATTTAGAATCCTTTGTGAATTTTTTTTTTAATTAATTAATGTTATTAATATTAATAAAAAATTTTTTTTTTGATCACCACATTTGTCGAATAAATCAAATTGTGATGAATTTCGCGTCTTTTTCGTTACATTTTTTTTTCTTTATTTTTTTCTTTATTTAAAAAAGTTATTGTACAGTTCTAACAAAGACGATATAAGTTATTCTTGTTTCAAATTAATTCTCCACAAATATAAAAAAAAAATATCTCTCCTCGCACGAAGACCCTTTCATGGAACAATGATTTAGTTTACTGTATTGAAATTTTATCAGCCAAATGGCCAAGGAATATATGCCAATTATCCATCAAATAATGCCCATGATTATGATTGGCGCGCCTAAACTCGTTGAAAACCATGAAAGGAATATATATTAGAAGACGTAAAAACCGCAAATGATTAAGACACACACATAACATATAGCCGTAATTATATAATATTTGATAAAATGGTCCAAACTTGTGATTCTTTACAACATCTTTTACTGTTCAAATTCATGGAACTCATTTTTAAAATATTTTTTTTAAAAGGAAGGAATGTATGAATAATGATCATAATCAGTCAAGATCACACACACACTGTTTGAATTTACAAGACACGTTTTATTATTATTATCGTCAGTCTTTTGGAGCCCGGTCCCAAAAATCCGAGGCTTCCTACCGTTTAGGACTTAAAGTTCCATATCACGAATTTATTTTGGAAAGATCGGTGGGCAAACATTAATGTCACAAGGTCACATTTCGGCCAATCATGCAAACTCACGTTATACCTCAAATCCTTGTGATGGCCTTAATTTTTTTTACATTCAGACGAAAAGCGATATTAATAATGAATAGTCAAGAAGAAGTTTTAAAGCTTGTCACCAAGAACAATATGGTTTCATGCCTTATATATAATATTTTCTAATTTCTCATTCTTTCATTCTAATAATTTTTGTATCTATTAAAAATAAAGAACTCTTTGTTTGTCATAATAAAATAAAGAATTCTTTATTTTCATGTTACTTGATAAAAAAAAAAAAATAATAAATAATAAATAAAGAGAGTACACACATAATGTTAGAAATTAAAAATTAATTATTACTCGGTCTATAACAATAATATTTTTTATTTGCATAACCATTGATCATCTTAATCAAGCCAAGCCGAGCCTGAGCTGAGTCAGTTGTTTATAATCTTGGCTTGGCTCAAGCCATCATTTATTTTTTCAAGTCATGCTGGCTTGTGCAGAGCCTTAGATTTTAAGGATTTGAGTGTGGGTGGCAAGTATAGATACAATGTTTTTAGTGGAGTAGATACTCAAGATCACTATTTATAATACATGGATCATAAATGAAAAAACATCAAAAATTTTTTAAAGCTGAATTAAAATGCATCATAGCTAGTATTCAAAAGAATCTTGAGGCATATTTTTTGCCAGATACTTGTTTGTTGTTTCATATTTGTTTTATGTTTAACAACTTTCTATTGATTTAAGTAAATACTAAACATTATTACTGTGTCATTTCTAAAAAAAAAACACCAGGTATTCTTTCATTTGAGAATGGATTGATACTATTTGAATTTTTATGTTGTGAAGGACCTATTAGATTCAATAGACCAATCATTGTGACGGAAATTTTTCTGGTGTCTAAATATTTATGACAAAATATCACCTAATTCGGACATTTTCCGAAAGGCAAATCCTTTTATCCATTGAATAACTTCCGCCTTTCGGGGTGTATGGCATGGATATCTCTGATGTTGATATCCGGGATTTTGTCCGGATAACACACTCTATGATCAACAAACTTATGGGTAGGATAATTATAATATATCCCTCTCTACAGGCAATGGATAAAGGTTTTGCCTGTTCGGAAAATGTCCGAATTACCTGCAAAATATGCGAAATACAGAAAATCCTAAAAAAATTTTTGATTAATGGAAAAAATTAAAAAATGTCTGATACAACAATATCAACAAAAACTTTTGTAATTGGTAGTCGCAAATCTCAACTTGCAATAATTCAAGCAGAGGAAGTTAAAAAGGCATTATCATTAGCATATCCAACCTACTCTTTCAAAATTATAACAAGATCAACAACTGGAGATCAAATCCTTTCCAAACCATTGTTTCAAATTGGCGAGAAGGCATTATTTACCAAAGAGTTGGAAGACGAACTTGTTAAAAAAAGTGTGGATCTGGTAGTGCATAGTCTAAAAGATTTGCCAACAAAACTTCCTGAGGGAATGATAATTGGAGCAATTACAAAAAGAGAAAATCCAAAAGATGCTGTTATAATTAAAACTGGTCTAGCTTATAAAACAATAAATGAATTGCCAAAGGGTAGTATTGTTGGAACAAGCAGTGTTAGAAGATCTGCACAATTAAAAGCAGTATTTCCAGATTTGATATTTCAGAGTGTTGTATGCAGATTTTTAGATTAAATCTTATTTTAATTACATGCACATATATATTAATAAACATTTTTCTTTATTTATCAATAATATTACATGCATATAATTTAAATCATGACGATAAATAATATTAAGAGAGGTAATTTGTAAGTAGAAGGATTTTATGATTTTTTATAATTAAACTTTAGATCATCATTATTATAATTAACCATTTATTATTATCTTTACCATTACTTTAGAAATACACGTTTGTCAAAATTAGATGACGAGAATGGACCATACACAGCAATTATTTTAGCAGCTGCAGGGCTTTTGCGATTAGGATTTAGTCATCGAATTTCTCAGATTCTCCCATCATCTATTATTCTACATGCAGTTGGACAAGGTGCATTGGGTGTTGAATGCCGAGCTGATGATAAAGATGTGATTGAACTTCTTTCAGTAATAGATGATAATGATACAAAATTAAAATGTATTGCTGAAAGAGCATTGATGAGATCATTGGAAGGAGGATGTAGTGTTCCAATTGGTGTAGAAACTGAATTAATAGAAGATGTTAATGATGGCAATGGGAAAAGACGTGAATTAAGAATACATGGACTGATAGCAAGAGTTGATGGATCAGAAATTATTCGAGCTGAGATAAAAAAAGTAGTTGAAGATATTGTTGCAGCAGAAGAACTTGGTAAAGAACTGGCAAAAATTTTGGTAGAAAAAGGTGCAAAAGATATTTTAGAAGATTTGAAAAGTTCAAGATAAAAACAATACAATTTACATATGGGGCATACCAAAACAAAACCAGACAAAGTGAACGTTGGTATTACCAAAGATTTCAGGGATCAAATTTAGTCATTATTATCACAATTGTAATGTAATCAGTTTTATAATATCCCATTTGTTATCTTAAATGATATATAGAACTATTCCCATATAAAAATAATAATAATAACAATAAATAAATTAATATAATAATAAAATATAAAAATGATGCCAAATAAATCTAATAATAATTTACATATTACATCTTCTAAAATATATTAAACACACAATTATCATGACAAATTTTTGTGATTACTACCAGATGTCTTTTCAATATTAATATTCAAAGAACCCAATGGAATTTTGATTATTTTAGATTTGGCAATGAGAAATAATTTATTCATGAATTTAG